TTGAAAAATTTAGTAAGTATTAAATGCTCATGTACAAGTTGCACTATACTTCTAATTAAAAGAAAGAAAACAGACCGGGTCCCACAGTTATTACTTTGTTGAAACACTTGGCCATCATTACATGTATCTACCAACCAGAAATTAAGTAATTTACTTGCCATCATAGCACAAACAAGCACAAACATGTCAATACTGTGAGTACCAGTAAGTGGAAACTCTGAAGCCAATCCGCTTTCGCTTAATTATTTTCCTTTTTAGGACAAGATGAAGCTTGTTATTCACAGTTCAAAAGAAGGACAAAAAACCCTGTCTAAGAAGAGCAAAAAGGATTCTAAGGACGAACCACCAACAGGAGATCTTATCACCTTTGATTAGTGACAGTGGATATGATAGTTTGATGTAAAAAAAAATGCTGTTAGATTTACCGGTAGTTGGAGATGGTTCTCCTTTCAATGTTTGGCGTATCAGATGTGTTGCCTTCTTGTAAAAACCTTTTAGTTTTGTTATTTTTTAGACTAAAATATTATTTTCATGCTTATATTTTAGCTAAAATAGGTGATCAATTTTCCCACCACATGAGAACCAGGCTTAACAACTTATTTTAAGTTTGGAGTGATAGCAGAATACCCAGCCCACTAAATATCGTACTTGAAAAAGTCCTGCAGGCGTGTTTTATTATGCTGGGTGCGCAGTCCCACAGTCCGGTAGTCAACAAAAAACTAGTGCTCCCGCAGTCACGCACTCCTGCAGTTGATGTCAAGTAACTTGTGTGCTTATAGAACGAGGTATACTAGTTCTCCCACAGTCCCGCACTCCCGTAGTCTATGTCTATTTATTATGCAAATCGCACGAGTGAGGGACCTCAGGAGCAGTGTTTTAATTTAGATATTTAGTGGGCTGGGTAGTCTGCAATCTAGCCTTAAGTTCAGGCTTGCAACCTTGTGCAGGACCTTGTTCATCTGAGTCATTAAGAGATTGAGACTTGGGACCATTTATTTAAACAAAGTCTATTCAGACCATGTTTTACAACAATAATAATTAGTGGACCTCCAGGCCGCAGCCAGTTGTTAAAAAGGTGGATAGTGCTTTCCACTGGATGAATCTCTACCCAGTGGATAGAGCAATTGGTTTCCCTAATACTTATCCACTGGATATTGGTTTATCCAGTTGATAGTGCTATCCAGCCTTTGAACAACCGGGGCCAGATCTCACAAATGACAGCCTCTAGGATTAGCCACTATGAACATCACTTGGAAATTCGTTTTGTGAAGCACTGGGCAAACTCCATTTAAATAACTGACCCTGAGTGTTCATTCATAATGAGCCCTTCTTTCATATAAGGTTGGCAAGGGGTGGCTGAATAGAATTTTATACTACTCTATGAAAGTACCTGTGAATGATTTATAAAAGCCACTTGTAAGCTTTTTAGCATTATTGTTTATCTACAGAAAAAAGTATTTTAACAGTATGTCAAAGATTTTATTAAAATACCAAAAAACAGTCCATGTTTACACAAAATATCAAATTAATTATATGAATCAGCCCTATTTTTAAAAACAATCAAAACACTCTTATTCATTAAAAGTTTCAGCTGTCATACTTCTGACACCATCTATACTCTAAGCCTTGTCATCATGAAAAAAATATTAACCATAGATCTAACATTAATTAATGTGTACTATACTGACAAATTCCTTTATTATTTCTTGATGATATTAACAGTTAAATTTCATATAATTAATATATACTACTTTTAGTAAAGGAATAGTGGGTACTCTTCTAATGTTGATGTGGATGTGTGCAATTGTACAGTTTTTTCTAGATATAGATTATGAATTTTGTTTGGTGGGGGTGGAAGGGGGGGGGGGGGACTGGGAAACGGGGCCGTAAAGGGGGAAGGACGTGGCGGTAAGAAAATGGTTTTTGCTAATTTCTTTTTTTAAAATACTATTAAAAAAGTAAATTACAACAAACCGTTTTCTAACGAAGATTTGGGAAAATTGTCAATTTTTTTTCTATGGCCCAAGGGATTCCAATACA